AGATTTGTACAAACCAAGCACTGTAGGCCCTTTGCCTGTGTGCGGAAGGATTGGGCTTGGTGATCTCCAAATCCCCTTCCAGCTCTCAACAGCCAAGTTTCCTTCTGCTCATCCACCCTGGCCTTGGCCAAATCCTTTGTAGAGGACTGTCATGGTCAATGCCACGTGTCCACTTGGCCAGGCTATAGTCATTTATTGAACACTAATCTAGGTGTTGCTGTAGAGGTATTTTGTAGATGTGATTAAAAGCTACTTAAATTGATTTTAAGTAATGATTATCTTTGATAATCTGGCTTTATCTAATCAGTTTAAAGGCCTTTAGAGCAAAACTGAGGTTTTCGTGAGGAAGAAAAAATTCCATCTGTGGACCACAGCATCAGCCCCTGCCTGAGAGTTTCCAGTTTGCTGCTCCTGACTTAACAGATTTCAGACTTGCCAGTTACCCTCATATTCCCTTAAGCCAATACTTTGAAATAAATCTTTCTCTCTCTGTCTTTGTCTCTGTCTCGCTCTCTATATATGCGTATGTTTATATACATATATACATACATATATGTAATTATGTGTATATACATATACATATATATACAAAATCTCCTATTCTCTGTCTCTCTATGCACTTGTGTATATATATATATGTGTATGTGTGTGTGTGTATGTGCACTATAAATATATTGTAGATAGCATATGTATATAATCTTCTACTAGTTCTATTTCTCTTGAGAACTCTGAATGACACAGGGACCCCCATGTCCTTTTTTTCTTATAATATTGTCTGGAGTGATCAGTCTTGTATCTTGCGGTGTGTATAGTTCAGGCCCCATCTGTTTTCTAGTAGGCAGATGAAGCACATACTTTAAGAATCAATAATGCAGGGCCACAAAAACATGAGAAAAGTTCAGCTTTGATTCAATTAACTGTCCAGAATTTTGCAGTCAGAAAATCTAGAATTTTTACATACATGTAGTCTGTGTCTTACATATGCTTGGTTTTTAAAAATTTTGGTCTATATATGGGTGGGAGGGACCATATCTTTTCATGTTAGGACCTTAAAGGTATTTATTCAGCTCTGTGTGTCCCCAAGTAAAATATAAGCTCTATGAGGTCAGAGGCCAAGTCTTGGTTTTTTTGTGACCCTATAGTACCTATGTGGAGCTTAACAGAGACTCACACATACAGGACGTCCTGAGTCAATATATTTTCATTTTGTTTTATTCTCCGGAATATGTTACCTTTGGGGAATGGGACACAGGCTCAGACAAATGTAGGTTTGTTTGTTTTTAGGCAAATCAATGTACCATCTCCAAGGGAGAGGCTGCTTCCTCAGTATGGTTGGAGATTTATATCTGAAAAGCATTTCAGCGACTAGCCCTTCTCTTGTTTCTCTGTCCATTGGTGGGGAGCAGATGACTGATGTGCATCAGGCTTTACAAGCATTTTAAGAGAGATTAGTTTTCACAACAGCCACTTAGGCTGTCCTAAGATAGCAAGAAGCATTGCAGGTAGTGGGAGGAATTAAAAGGGACTTTTGCTGAGACTCAGTCTAGACTCTTTCTCGAACACAACCTAGAATAGTGGTGTGAAGTGTAAAGAGCAGGTGTCCGATAAATCTTTGACCATGGGTCGACTGATGGTTGACCCGTGGATTATTAACATCCTTGGTGGAGAAACTAAGGAGAGGTCAAGGTCCAGAGTAGAGCTCATTTTGAGGCCTCCTGGAGAGCACTTTCATTTATCACCTTTCACAGAAATTATTTGGAAACAACATGACAATTATTCCAAACAGATGTTTGTGTGTATGAAGTCTGAGGCTGTTGAGTCATCAGAGATACTCCAAGCAAATGGGCAATACGTCGGAGAGGGACAGATGTTCACCATTAGCTCTAGATTGGCTGAGTTCAGCACCAGGTAGGGGCTGCTTATTGCTCTGAACACCTGACCTGATCCTTCCTCATGGTCTGAACCTTCCTCTGGCCATTGAACAATATTCACTCTTTCTTGAACACAACCTGTAATAATGATGTGAAGGATAAACAGCAAGTGTCCAATAAATCAGTGTTTGTAGGCCAGCTGAGTCTTGATCCCTGGATTATTAACACCCTTGATAAGAGAAAGTAAGGAGAGATCCGTGTCCTTACACAAATATCTTCAGCTTCAAGTGAGAATTTGTCAACTTGAAAAGAGAAAGCACAATTATTTTGATCATAAATGAGGGACTTCAAGTTGAGTCCAACCTGTGATGTGAAACTTCCATTAACCTGAGTGTGCACCCTGGGGTCTCTCCTCCCTGACCAAGGGTGAAAAATAGTGTACACCCTGACATTGCAGAAACAGAGGCTGGATCTAAAGGCCCAAGAAAAATGTGGGGACAGGTTTCCAGAATAAGCAGGTTAAGGGAATCAAATAAAACATCTCTGTGTAACAGTGCCCCAAACACACTGAAAAGACAAAGCCTCCATCTCGCATAGGTCTCTGGAAGTTTCTTCTCTGCTGCACTAATTATGCCACTTTCCCACTTGTCTCCTATTCATGCCATCCATTCCCCTCCACGCTGGCCAGAGTGAATCTCTTTATTCCCCCTCCCCACTTAGAGCCTTTGAAGTAAAAGCCCAAATCCATCACAGGTTACTCAGAGCTAGCCCCAGCCTCTTTCCAGCAACATCCCCTCACTATGGCTCCCTCCACAGATTCTTTGATCGTTGGAACATTTTCACATTCTTTTCATGACTCCTTGTTCTTTCGGCTTCCAGGCCTGAAATGCCCTTAGAAAATCTTTCAGAAGGTCACCAAGCCCTCCCAGTCCCAGTTCAAATGGGGGTCCCATCTCCTCAGGCTGAGTCCATCCATCTTTCCTCAGTGCTTTCCTGATCCTCTTATGTTCTCTGTACTGTTGTACTCTGATTATTTATGTAGTACCTTCATACTTGAGTTCTCACCAGAGTGTGAGCTCCTCAAAGCCACGGGCAGTGTTTTTTTCTTTTTAAAAACTCTCTGTGCCTCATTTGGTACTTGTCATTTAACAGGTCCTCAATAAATAGAGTTGGACAAATGAACCAAGTAATTAATCCAGCAACTTAGATCTCCAAGCCTGACCTCCTGACCTTCAATTCGTACTTGGGTATTTCTCTCAAGCATTCTCCTTTTGACTGTTGCTCTGAAAATCCATGTTCATGGCTACGTCTGATTTGCACCTCCACCTCATATTTCCATATATTCTGTATATTTGTGGTGCCTTCAAGGCATAATCTGTACTCATATTGCGGGAAATAAGCTTCTGAAAGACTATGGAGCATCCAGCATTAAGCATTGAATACTATTTAAGTCAATGATTTGTGATATTTCTCTGTCGTTCAGTTCTGTGCTCTGGAAAAAGATATAATGGCACAGAGAGTCAAAGGCTGGTTCTGAATTCCAGGAATATCCACTGTTAGAGGGGTGGGGACTGGGATCCACTCACTGCCTTCCTGGACTTCTTCTCCACCCACTGCTGGCTGGTGGCCCTCCAATACACAAGGACCCCTCTTTGGTGCCTTGTTTGGGGAAGGCTGATTAGTGACCTCCTGGAAGTCAGGTGCAGCCCTTGGGCCAAGAAAGAGGCAAGAATTACATGCTGTGACACCCACTGAGTCTCCAAAGACCTTGCTTAGTAGGGGTGGAGTGAGGTGCTCTGCTCTTGAGAAGAGAATCATATGTAGAACTGAGTTGTGATTTGGCTTGAATCAACGTTCAGAACAAGCAATAACAAATGAGAGCTTTTTGTCATTGCTGTAGCTCCATGAACAAGATTATCTAAGCAATTAGAGGGTAATTGTTATCTACAGTCAGAAGGAGAGAAGTGTCAGAATGAGGCCAGCAGAAGCAGGAACATGGTGGATAATTTATTAGATGCTGAGTGGCTGTTTTTCTCTCTCCAGGCCTTTGTGAGAGAAATATCCAAACACCACAAGTATATCCCCAGGGAGCCTCAGGGTGGCAGGAGCCCAGGACGTGGGAACATAATTGCCTTTTATCTGCTCTGATTTGGGCTTTCTCAAATCTTTTGGCTCCCAAGGCATTCTGGAGCAGAAGTGTTCATGATGTTCCAGCCCTGGGCCCATTGTGCCGGCGCTGCTGGGCACAAGAGAGCCTGAGGGTCTGTGGAGCCTTCCAGCCCCTTCTTCCTCGTAGGCCTCAGAGTCTGTGCTGCCTACACTTCCAATAAACTCTGACCGGGCTCCCCACTAAGTTCTTTGGAGGCTCCAGCCTTGTCTCCTTTCATTCCAGATTGGTTTCTTCTGGGCTCTGTGCCTGTGAGAGGCTACAAGGCTAATGATAAACAAGTACTGGTGGTAAACATGAATTTTGCCCCCTTAGGAGAGAATCTTGGGGCATAAAGGCCTTTGTAGGACTCTGAACATCCAACTGTCCCCCAATCCATCTGTCTGTCCATCCATCCATCCATCCTTACGTACATATATATAGCCATATATTCATCTATGCGTACATACATACAGAGTAAAGCTCCGTTGTGCTCAGTCTGCTCAGAGACCAGGGAGATTTTGTGCTGAGGTAGCTCACAGCAGAGAGGAATACAGACCAGAAAGCACATGAGCATCAGAGATGGTTCCCCTCTCCCATCAGCTTGGAGGCTCTAAGGAGACACGGAGACACCCACACACTCCCCAATGACCAAGCAATAGCGTATACATGAAATTTCAGCCTCCCAGGAAGATTTAAATAAGTGAAACCTACTGTTGCCAGTGTTCGGTCTTATAAAAGACACTCTAAGACCTATGGTGACAAAGCTGGTGATTACCGGAGGCATTCAAGGTTCTCTATCTTGTCTGTGTTTTCTCACACCAAGGCTCCTACTCTCCCCACGCGCCCACACTCCTACACACACACACACACACACACACACACACACACACACTTTCCATTTGCCCCAGCCATACCCAAGTATTGAGCTCTCTGACACAACAGGCTGTTTCATACCTTTGTTGTCCTGTTCTGTCTTCCAGAGCCTGGTGAGACCTCAGCAGCTCCTGGGCAGAGTCTGCCACCTCCATCACTGTGCCCTGTCCATGTCTTCCTTGCACAAGCACTTCAGCATGTGCGTGTGATCACAGGTCACCTAGTGACTGTGTGTGTGCAGGGCTCTCTCATCTTTGCATCCTTGGGGCCCAGAACAAAAGCCATGAAGGTTTTGAAAAGTAAGTAACGTTAAATATTCAAGTACCTTATTAATTTGTTGTTCATTATATTTCTCTCATATTCATTCATTAATTCAATTTCTGATGCTTACTGAACACCTACTATGTGCCAGGCAGTATGCTCAATCCAGCTTTCATGGTCTCTTCCCTTAAAAATACCCTAAACCAGCATCTTAAAATTAACCTTGGAGAGTTGTGCTAATAGTGTGTGTTCAAGTTTTGGGGTGAGTAGGAGAAAAAAATACCATCTTATATTTACACAAGTGATTTATATTTTTTACAAAGCATTTTACCACCCTTTGGTCAAGACCACTCATGGTTAAGTAAGTAGGGCTTTGCTCATTCCCACTCCAGGGGACCATGGGAGGCAACATGGTTCTAAAATCTGAGCTGTGTGTCCTCTCTGGAGCAAACATATGTGTTCACCAGCTCCTGATGCCACTTTGAAACAGGGATGGGTGACAGATGGCATTTGTGCCACTCCAAGCTTTGTAGGTGGCACTCAGCCACTCTGCTGCATTACTACCACTTTGTACTTCTTCTTCCTTTCCCTTCTTTCTCTCTCCTATTTGTTATCTTTCTTTTCCCTTCCCCTTTCTCTCTTTCACATGACTTTATCATCCCTTACATAGGTACCCTTAGGCATTACTTAGCATCTGACACTTGACTTCCCTTCATTCTTCAGCTGGATTACACCCAAACTCCAGAATGTGAAGTCGGGGGAGGGGAGGGACAGAACTGGTCCAGCCTCTGTGTCCCTCAGGCTGTTGATGACTCTATCCCATGCCAGACACCCTGAGGTGAATGAGCTGAACCCGGCACTCAGCCTGGGCCATCAACAAGGAAGGACCCAGGAAAGGGACAGTATGGCTTTGTCTGGTTTAAGCAGAAGAACTTCAAAGATACGCTCAGCTCTGTGTAGACAAAGGCCTGGAAAAGTCTCGACTTTCTGCTTAGGGTTTCACACTGTTGCGAAGTCAGGGAATAGGAGCAAAAAGGCAATGCTTGCTTTCACCCATCACATACAGAAAACCCCCCTTTATCCCAACATTAGTTTCTCCAAACGCTGCCCGGGAATAGTGAATCTTGACTGACCCTGATTTTTTGGAGCAGAAGAGGAAAAGAAACAGCTGGCCCTAAATGTCAAGGTGAGGAGTGTAGCCTGGCTAGAAAGAGAGCCAAGAGTGTTCTGTGGGGTGTAGCACGTGACTGGGATCCTCAGGCCTGGAGGGACCAGGAGCCATGTCAAGTGGGAGGTGTTGGGAATGCAAAGTCGGCTGTAGACTCAGCACATTAAATATGTCAAGAACAAGGCAGAGAATAATGCAAGGGGAAGAGTGCCTTCTGTTTTGTGGGAGGCAGGTTATGAAATGTTAGAAGCGCACGTTTGCTTTCATGTGTCTGCTTGGTTGCAAGTCCAATCTGCTGTCTGCTGGAACCCAGGAGAACTGATGGGAAGGTGGCATCCAAGAACCCACTCCCATTCTAGGGACTTCTGGCTCTACCTTCCCATGCTGCAGAGATTCTCCTGCTGCTGCGTGAAGAGGAATTTACAGAGCAAGTCAATCCAGGCACGTTCAATGAAAGTGAGCATTTATGGCGCTGCTCATCAGGACTGAAAGCTGGTAAGGAGTAGCTGAGGCTGCACCTGCTCAGAAGTCCATGTGGTTGGCAAAACAAGATAAAACAATGGGGAACCTCCAAGCTTACTTCAACGTGGCATTGTTTTTAAAGACATTGAGTTCAGTTCTCTGTTTCTCATCCATGCAGCCCTGATGCCGGGGCCCTCCTGGATATGTAGAAGAGATTCTTCCAACCTGAAGAGCTCTGTAATTTATTACCACCAGAGCCACGGTCTTCCTGTTCAGTGCCCAACCAGGAGATGCATACTTGCCGCTCTCAGCAGGAACCTGTGTTGAAGGCCCCCACATATGAGGTGCTCCTGGGAGGAAGGAGCTGGGCCACTGTCTTGGGGGAACTTCTGAAACTTAGTTCCCCCACTGGTAAAACCTGAGTAATAACACCTGCCCAATTCACATCCAAGATTTGTGGGCAGACTTAAAGGAGACCATTCATGTATCTGGAAGCACCTTCAAATGGAAGGGATGCTCATTGCTCAGCATTGGCCCATTACACTGGTTTTAGGCCCTGTGGCAGGGGTCTTGCTGTCTGATCTCTCCAGGAGATCTTTCCCTCACCTTCGAGTGTGGCATTCTGTCCTGGGAGGTCAGAATGTCCTTTGGTCTAGAGGAAACTAGGCCATTGTTTGCCATGGGTCCAGGCGGACCAAGTCCAGGACCAGGACACTTTCAGGGGCTCTCAGAACATCCTCTGGGGACAGGCCAAGCAGGCCTGCTTGCTGCCTGGGTGGTGCCCAGACCCTCCCGTCTCTTCATTTGCCTCTGTGTCAAACAGCAAATTCCCGAATCACTATACAAAGTGGTGGTTGGAGCAACATAACTTCCCCAAAACATGGCTAGGGATCAGCCATGGTAATTAGCATGTGTCATTTAGGGCGCTGGGATGTCACCAGAGAAGCACGCGTCAGTTGGACCCGATCTGTCCAGCTAAATCAAAGAATGCTTGTCAGTCCCTCAGGACGGACTGCCCTCAAGGGTGAACTCAATGCCCAAGGGTTGGAAAAACTAACAATTCTGAAAGAGGACTCAAGGTTTATCTCACAAGCAAGCACTGGGGACAATGCTCAGGTCTGTAACAATGGTAACAATACCCATTGTAATACTCAGTGTGGGCTCAGCCAAGGTCCTTGGGGAGTAATAGTGTGGAGAGGGGTGCTGAGCCCTCCACCCAGGCTTCAAAAGAAAAGCTCTTATCATTACCCAGTTAAAAACAATGTAAGCAAAGCAACTCTGTGATGGAAACATGTTGATGGTGAGGGAGAGACTTGAGGGAGATTCTGAGCAGTTCCCAGAATAAATTCCCACGTAAATTCAAAGAATGCTAGTGGAGAGAAGTCACTGCTCGCTCTCCTTTAAGCCAAATAATATCTTCCTGCCGGAATAGAGTTGTTCTTGGCAACTGGAAGTAAATGTGAGGAGGGAATCAAAACACGATGCCTGAGAAAGGAATCCATAAGAAATCTGAAGGCAGGGACATGGTGAGAAATAACAAAGAAAGATGAGTTGGTAGCAGGAACAAAGATTAACTGTACCAAAGGAGATGGCTCGTTGGCTCTTAGAATAGGGTTGGTGATGCCACGTACTTGGTAGTAGGGCTGGGGCAGCCGAGCTGCAGATCCATGCATCCTTCACCTCCATTCTGAGGGCTCAGAGGAAGGTCCTTGCCCAGTCGTGGTGACCTCAGGTCAGGCTTCTGGAAGCTGAGGCCCCAGCCCCCGCTGCCTCCTTGTACCAGTTCTGGAAGGACGTTCCAGGACCAAATTGGCGAGGCTTCACCTTGTCATAGAAAAAGTCAACACAGAAGGTAGTGAAACCTGGCAGAGAGTATTCTCTTCCCTCTGCCTTCAGTTACTGGAACAGCCTCTGGGGGACTTTGGCAAGTTTGATAAATGGCAAGAGTATTTGGAAATATTTTTTTTGCTGGCAGAGGGGAGTGGATGATTGGGCACAGACATGCTGCTGTAGTTCTTTATACTAAAACTGTAGATGACGAGCAGAAAGGCCAGATTCCTTGCACCTCTTATCACGGCCGATATTCCAGTGCCCACGTGCAAACTCCTCAAGTATTAGCATTTGGGTACAGATGAAGTTCTCTGTGGTGGCAAGAACAAATTCATCCCGAACGCTATACATTCCAGCTAGAGGTATCAGTGTGTGCGCATGAATCACCGGGCAGAGACGGCTACACTTGCCCGACTCCCAAATCTGTGACTCACAGAACACTCACATACACAGAAGCACCTTGCTCCAAGTGGCTGGGAGCGGTTTACAAGCTGCTGGCTCATCCTCAGCATGTCCCCTGCAGGGAGAGCAAAAGGTGGGGAAAGAGGAAGGTAGACATAATCATTTGCATTTTATGTGTGGAAACTGAGGCACAAACAAGCCCTCAAGGGAAATGTGTAGACATTTGTGAGTCAGACACTGCCCACGGAAAAGCCAAAATGAGTGATTCTGAATCCTAAGTAGACTGTTTTCTCACGCAGCTGTTCTCACGCAGCCTCCAAACAGGTGAACCAAAACACGGACTCACTGTATTTTATATTTATAAGCAATTTCCCACTCCTCATTCCATCTGTTATTTCTGCTCCATGTTACTGTGACCTTTTTATTGATTTAGAGACCTCTCGACCCTCCTTTCCTCCTGACCTGCTCCCAGTTCTGACAGGCACCTCCTTCCTGACATTTACTGCATTCTTGACCGGTACCTGATCCTCAGTATTTCTCCCATTTTGAATCTCTCCCACCCTTTCCCCTTACCTGTTCCTGACCCATACACCTTGATGCCCAGAGGCAGGATTGGCAATAGGGTGAAGATTGGGGCTGGAGGGAAGTTCACAGAAGGAGTATAAAATGCCCATTTTACTCACTTGTTTTTGAAAATCAGCACATTTATCGGCTGATGTTTTAGGTCAAATCTAAATATCCTCACGTCAAAATAACTGCGATAAAGTGGCTCTATTAAAATAGCTGCATCCAAAGGACTGAAAGTCCAAAGGACTAAAATCCTCTTTTTTGTGGCCTTGCCTTCTGTTGCGCTGTATTCCGGTGTGTGGTTGTTTAGAAGAGGACTTAGCACCGGGGCAGCTTTCTACTGTGTTGTTCCAGGGGAGGACTGTGGAGGTGTCACACGTGAAACCCGTCTAGAAGCCCAAAGGGATGCTTATGGCATAATGGCCACGTGTTTCTACTTCCCCGTGAGGCAGCCGGGCTGGCATCAGTCCTCTCCCCAGCCTCCTTCCTGCCCCCATCCACCCACCAGCTCTTGTTGGGTCAGAAATGCACTTCTCTGGTGGTGCCAGACAGCCAGATGATGCTGGAAAAAAAAGAAAGAAAAAGGAAAAGCAGATTTCTAAATTAAGCACAAGTCTCATTTATAAAAATAAATAGCCACAGCCTAGCAACAAGCTGACAGCTCAGCTTCCCTGCATGATGTAACCTCTGTGGCTGGAGCCGGGGATGACACAGCCTTCAGAGGGCCCCACACCCTGGTCCCTCCCCATGCCTAGTACTCACCCGGAGAGTGCTGACAGTGGCACTTTGAGGACCCAGCTTCTCATTCAAGGCCAACTAAGGGCTAGTCTCCAAAGGAGCAGAGAGGAGCCAGAGCTTTCCAAACGTGATGAAGCCCCTAAACACCTACAAACTCTTGGCAGTAACTAACACACCAGAAGCGAAAGCAGATGAAGTTCTGTGGGCTGTTCCTGTTGAAACAGAAACCCCTCCTTGAGACCTTGACTTCTCTGTTCACCACTGAATGCCCAGTATCCAGCGTAACACATGGCACACACTAGGCCCTTAATAACTGGATGGAGGTATGAATGGATGGATGCATGGATGTCGTCATCCCATCATCTCTGCCCCCCAAACTCTCCACTCTAAATGGTGTGAACCCCAGAAGATGAAGAGAGGCATAATCTCCTGATTATGACATGTACCAAAGAGGCAGTGTTCCTTGGGATTTGAGCCAACAGCTGGGGTGAACACCTGTGAGGCTGTTAAAGGATGTAGGCTTTTACTGCCCCAGGTGCAGGCAGTATGGTCTTCACACATGCAGAAGTATGGGAGGTGTACTAGGTGATAACTGTCAGTTCTGGGGCACCTGGGTGGCTCAGTCAGTTAGGCGTCTGCCTTCGGCTCAGCTCATTATCCCAGGGTCCTGGGATTGAGCCCCACCTCAGGCTTCCTGCTCAGCAGGGAGCCTGCTTCTCCCTCTCCATCTGCCTGTTGCTCCTCCCGCTTGTGCTCTCTCTCTGTCAAATAAATAAATAAAATCCTTAAATTTATAATAATAATAATTGTCAGTTCCCCCAAACCTCTCATTCTTTAGGCAGCATCAGCTCCAAGGGTGCGGTATTGCTCAACAGAGAAGCTACAGAACAAAATAGCACATGAGTTTCTGCGCGGTGTTAGTCCTTTTGGGAAACAAAGTGGAGTCCACAATGCCCTTGGAGTCTCCATTGGCCAAATACATCAGAAATGGACCACAGTGTGGAAGATTTAATCCCATCACCAACCCTCCCAAGTCATGAAATGATTCGGTAAGGTCAGGGTGATTCTGACAGTCCTCAGAATACAGAGCATTAAGTAATCTTCTGAATCCCAGGAGGATCCTGTTGAGGTTGGAGGGGACAACTTTAACTCCTAGAAGCAGCATTTCTGTGAGGTTTCACATACTCCCTAGTGACCAGAGAGTGGTTGAAGATAGCATGTCAAAGTCATAAATCACCATCTCAGAGCAGGGGCCCTAGGTTAAGAAGATTGGAGAAATTGGCCCACAGTTCAGAAATCTGTCTTTAGATACCCTTGTCTGGCCTGACCAGAAGCAGTAAAACCACATCTGTGTCAATAGAAAGAAGGTTCTTAATTAAATTCAGATGTACAAGAATATATTACCAGTCTATTTTTGGAATAATAATTTATAATGGACAAAAAAATCTAAACAGCAGCAAAAGTAGTACAGTTGCGTTGGACTTCACATAAAGCACATAGGAGGACAGTAGGAGTCCTCATAGACTCTGATCATTTCAATCCCACAGCCTTCCCAAAGCACCAAAGCTGTGGCACTGGGACATTTAGGAAAAGGGACTCCAGCAGTGACCTGATTAGACGTGTGACCACAGGGAGGGTAAGCATAGAGACTGATCAGGCTACCCTATATCTACAGTGACGTCTCTTTGGTGATACTAAGAGTAGCCCTCTCCAGAGCAGGGTAACCATTGCACTCATAACCGCATAAGGGCACAGTGTGTCCCTTGGGTCCCTAACACTCTTGTCCAGGGTTTCCACTTCTGAAATGGCTGTGTAGTGATAAGATGCAACTGACCCCCCTTCTTTTTAAGCATTACAGAAATTCATGAGAGCAGAATCCAAGACTTAGCTTTGTGACCTTAACTACTTGGAAACTCAGTTTCCTCATCTATAAAATGGGGAGAGTAGAAGCTCTGCTCTCTGCCTCCCAGGATTGTGTGAGGATCAAATGAAACACTATTATTTCCAGTCCTTCTCAGTCTGCAAGCTATTGTTCCATAATGATTTTTTTTCTAAATTGTAAAGGTATACAGTAAGAAGTTTGTTTCTGATGTGGGGAATGCGACTTCCTTCCTCATAAACTTCCAGGGTACCGTCTGCTTCTTACTGTGCCAGGGTTTGCTCCGTCCTTGTCATAACCCTAATTTTTTGGCCTCTTCTCTTGGCTTCACATACCAGAGACTTCTAACATTTGTCTGTGCATGTGTGTGTAACTATTTCTCTCCCCTTATAATTCTTGAATAACTGCTAGGATTCTAGAATGCATGTGAGACTTTGAGGGGTGTGCATGGTCCACCCCTTCACTTTGCAGATGGAGGCCCAGGGCACAGACACTTATGCACCTGTGCCCAGTCATGCACTGAGTTTTTCACTGGCTCTGTCCTTGGCTTCTCTCACAGCCTGGTGGTGTTTGACCTCCTCTGGGTCTTTGAGGGCAACGATTCATATTAGGTGCTTCCTTCCCTTCATAATAGCCACATTTCCCCCAGTTTTGAGTAACTACAACTTAAGTGAGGTTTGTTATTTAGGATATGGGGGAGGGTTCACTGAGTGACAATTCCTCTACCATCTGTTCACCATCCTCTCCAGCAGGTGACCTTACATCTATCTAGTAAAAAATTGAGGCTATTTTGTGTGAAACTCTCCCCTGCTTTTCCTCATACCTAGCTGTCCATATGAAGAATGGTCTTTTATCCTGTAACAACTTCACATGTTTGCTAAGCCTAGGGTGACCAATGGTCCTCGTTAGCCCAAGACTAAGGAGGGAGTCCATGGGACTTTCAGTGCTAAAAATGTCCCAGGCAGACCAAGACAAGTTGATTCCCCCAGTAGGCCCCATACCCTCTCACCTTTCCAAACAAATAACAAGTAATTATTGAATGACTTGATACTAAATAATACCACATTGTTATGTGAGATTATAAGTCAGGAAGAAAACTTGAATGAATGAATGAATGGATGGATGAAAAATTTTAAAAGATTTTTTAAATTTTATTTGAGAGAGCACAAAGAGGGGAAATGGCAGAGAGAGAGAGAGAAGCAAGCTGCCTGCTGAGCAGGGAGCCCGATGCGGGGCTCGATCCCAGGACCCTGGGATCTTAACCAACTGAGCCACCCAGCCACCAAAAACAAAATGATTTGTTTTTAATAAAAAGATCCATGAGTGGGGGAGAGAGAGAATCAGGAGGAGGATATCCTACTATCCAGATGAACAGAAGAGGACAAAATTTCCATTAAAGAATTCATATAAAGATGTAGATCCCATTCATCAAGAAGAAAAACACTGGATGGTAAACTAGAGCAATCCGTATTACATAAGAAAAGACCATAGAAGTGCTTCCTAATTGTTTTAATTTCATGGCACACATTTTTAAAAATTATAATGTCTGCAACATGGAGTAAACTGGAAGGAGGAGTTACTTAAGGCCAGAGGTGACCAACCAAGGGACTTCTGGACCACAGAAACTCTCAGCCCCCTGAAGGCTGAAAGGACCAGTATCTCAGCTCACTTGTAACCCACTAACCTCTTTGAACCATAAAACTACAGCATTCTGGCTGAAACTCACAGTTCTAGACTCTGCTCCATTACAAATCTGAAATCCACATTTTCTCTAGGTTTCTGGTGAAACTAGCAAAGCCTAGGGCAATCAAACTCCCTCTGATGATCCAATATTTCAAAGCTTCCTTAATGGGCATTTACTAGAATGAGACTAGTGTGGGTTCCTGTTTACATTTCTACTTCTTTAGTCCAGGTTTATCCCATATGTACACAGGTTAAGCAATGACCTAATGACTGGCAAGAAGGAAGTAATCCTTGATCACATTCAGCCCGCATTCAGTTGCTGACCTGAAATGAGTTTTACAAAAACATTTTTTTTTTAAAAATATCACCAACAATTTAAAAATTCAGAAATTTCTCATTAATAAATTCAGATAAACTGGCATCCTTGAAAAATGGGAAAATCTGACAACTCAGCCACAGTTCCCCCACCATGGCCACAGTCATCTGAGACTAAGGGCCTAAACAGTGCAGTGGATAGGAGTGTTGGCTGCCAGGGTTCAGATCCCATCCCTGCTACTTATAGGTAAATTTATTCATGAATTTAACCTCTCAAAGTCTTGGTTTCTCGTTTTTATTTTATTTTTTATTTTTTTTGTTAGAAAGAGAGTGCACACATAAATGAGCTGGGAGGGAGAGACAGAGGGAGAGAAAGAATCTTAAGCTGGCTCCATGCCCAGCACAGAGCCTGATGCGGGACTCAATCTCACGACCCTAAGCCAAAATCAAGGGTTGGATGCTTAACTGATGGAGCCACCCAGGCGCCCTATGTTTCTCATTTTTAAAGACAGTGTTAAACTAATAGTATTTATTTTCGTGTACAGAAAAATGCTTAAAACAGTGGCTAGCATTTAATAATCATTCAGTAAATGTCAATGACTCCCCGCCCCCACCTCCCTTACACAGGTAACTTTGCTATTTTTCTGAGCATAACTGTTAGCCTGCATAGTTCAACAAAATAAGTTTGGCAACTGTGGTGCCTCAGGTCACGAGGTAATAACTCAAGTCTACATCCTTTCCTGGGTTGATTGTCCCCATCCCCAGCCTGACACATGTCCCTTCTTCTCCAAGCTTCTCCCTCATCCTGCAGGAGCCCATAATGAAACCTGAGAGCAGGGCAGGTCACCCTGAGTCCTCACACTTCCTAATTAGAGGTTTCTGAACAGAGAAACATGGTTCTCCTAGTTGCTTCAAGGTGTCTCATCCACTTTCTAATATGAAGTCTTTCCCAGCCATTTTGCTCCTTAGATCCCCCCCCCCCCAGCACATATAAGGAGAAAATCTTTTGAGTAATTCAGTTAGCAAATCAGTCAACAAGAAGACATGAATCCACAGGAAAATATGGAGGTGCTTTCCTCATAGAAAGTTGTTTTTAATAAACCAATTTCTGCTGCTAAGCAACCTTGATGATGCCTCTTGCAGAAATACAACTAAAGAGAGTCCTTGACTGTCTACAGTGGATTAGGTTTATGCTCTTATGAGTCAGAAGAAGGTACCAGAGAAAGTTTAACTCAGCCTGGAATGAATGTAAAATAATTTGTAAGAAACAAAATAGGAGTGGCATGCCCAGGTAGTGATGTATAAGGCATATAGTTATTTTACTCACACTTTGGGGATGTCAAGCTTGTTTGGGGAGTTAACTGTAAAGAGCTGGATTGTTCATTCATAGCTGAGTGGATGGAGTCATAGTGTGAGAGACAGTCTCCCTGGTTCTCTCAAGAAGACTAATAATTAAAGTTGTGGTTAGATGTTACACCAAACTAAGGAGGTCCATTGGAACTCCCTGGAAGCGAGAAAGAGCCTTTGAGGCAGATTCGATGTTGCAACTGTCAAATCCCACAGCATAGTCATTATGCTAAGGAGATGAGGTGAACTGTGAGCCAGCCAATAAGAACAGCTGGAGAGTGGAACCATTTCCGATCACTCCAGTCTTTTGGCTCCATTTGGATAGGTAGGGCAGGGGCAAAGCCAGTTCCACAGTTCCTTTTGTAAAATTTAAAACACTAGGTGGCTACACCTCCCATTGCTGAAAACATGGAAAATCCTCTGGCGCGATTTCCTAAGCCTCTAAATATATATTTCCCCTAAGAACTAAATGTGGCTATCTCAACAAAACCAGTCAGTTAACATAAAGGACAACATTCGGAGGGAGAAATGTTTGGAGTGGGGAAGGGGGATTTCTTAGAAAGTTCAATGACTTCTAAAAAAAAAAAATTCAATGACTTCTTTATAAACTTCTTTGCCATCTTTTTGATAGTGAAAGAGTCTAATTAAAAATGCCAGTATAAGCTACTGAAGATAAAACAGCAAGAAGTGTTAAGAACCGCTGGGTTTTTAAAAAATATTTCATTCATTCATTCATTCATTCATTTATTCATTCATTTGAGAGAGCAAGAAAGCACAACAGGGGGAGCTGTAGAGGAAGAGGGAGAAACAGGCTCCCCACTGAGCAGGGAGCCCAATGTGGGACTCTGTCCCAGGACCCTGGGATCATGACCTGAGCTGAAGGCAGTCGCTTAACTGACTGAGACACCCAGGCACCCTGAGAACCACTGTTCTGACAATCTTCGACCCTTGGTTCTTTCTCCTTTGCTTCTGATCTCTCAAAACTTCACCAAAACCCAGGACTTCTCACACCAAATCTCTGTCTCTTACTGCTTTGTCTCCCTCCAGGCTGCTCTGTCCTCACCCCTGAATGGTGGAGTAACATCTCAAGTGGGGGTGAGAAAAATAAACTTAAAGAGATAACTGCCTCCTGAAATCCACCATTTTCTCCTTCCTGCTGGAGGAAATAAAACAAACCCATGGCACAGACTGGGTCATATAATTCTGAGTCAGGGTCAGTCTCATTGGTCAGGAAGCCATCTAACTTCACTTTGCTTCAAGCTTTCCATCTATAAAAGCAAAGCATATGACTTGCTGCCTACTCATTACCCAGGACTGTGCTGGGAAGATTTATGAACAAAGGTTTAGAGAGCTCCTGGAAGGAGTGGAGAAATCTGATCACCATGTATGTTCAAGATACAAATGGAAACAGCCCTCGTCTGGGAAAATGAAAGAAGTTGTCTCCAAATCTGATGACAACTGTGTGCCATGAGGTTCAGCAGAGGAAAGGTGCATTGGCATGGAAGTTGCCAGAATCAATGGAGATGAGAAGAATGAAGCAGGCACCAGGATCCAGCAGCTGACCAGCTTTCTGGGGAAGTTGAGCACACTGTTGAGAACAGTCAGAAATTCAGAAGACTTTTCCCACATAATCCCTGCTTTGGACATGTTCTATATCTTGATCAGTTTGTTGGTTACATGGGCTATGTGCAGTTTTCAATATTCATCAAACTGTACACCTAATGTGCAATGTATGTAAATTTTATCTTAATTTAAAATCGATCTATCTAATCCCACTCAAATAAATGAGTTCCCTACTGTGACCATGAACAGCTATACTCCAATTACCAATTTTTATAATAATCCTCATATTTATATTTAACAAGATTAATGTATGCAAATGTGGATATTCATGTATATCATAATCATCAACACAGATTAAAATTGACTATCTGCCATTCTCTAGTAACTTCTCTCTGCACATTTATAATGCAGTGATAACCTTTCAAATGTCAAATGCCTTTGGAATTATAAAAAATAAAATTAAACTGTGAGCAGCAGACTTTTAGTGTTAAATATGTTTTACGATGTTCTAATTCATTAAAAATTGGTAATGCATGTGTGGAAATGTAACAACTCTATCAGAATATTGGTTTGCCCAAATGATCCTATACTCTTACTAAGCCTAGTAATAGAGTTTACAATATATATGATTTAGACTTTGAGAAAAAACAGGTAACAACAGTTATAACTGAACTCATGAATTGGTTGTTGTTTGGTTTGCTTTTCTAATAAAGGAGATAAATCTTGCCTAAGTCACATGTGTAACTTACTGAGAACAATCAGTGTTTGAAAGGAGTCTGAAGCTGGGTCCTTACTAAAGAAATATCACACTTATAAATCATACATGTGAAATTCGAGTTTGTGTATTTGCTTTCTAATAGGAACTTCAAATAAACAAAGAAATAACTTATCTGAGAATAAGTAAGAAATAAAACCCAGTAAGTTAATTTGCCACCATTTTAATATTCTTATCAATACCAGCGCAGGTTAGATCTTTAAAGGCAGTGAGGTAGAGTAGTCACACCATCTTCCTCCTAATCATTACAGCTTGGGTCATCTAAGACTCTGAGATTTGCACGCAGAAAATGTATCCAGGACTGCTCCAGGGAGTAGCGGCTGTGGGAGAGCCCAGGAAATGGGACTGGAAGACATTAAGCCCCCTGCAGTGGCAACAAAGTCCTCAGCTGATCTCAGGAGGAACTCTGAGGATGGAAGGAGACTCTTCTGATGACCCTTATGGGGCAAAGGGAACCAGACTTTGTATTCCCACATCAACCTATCATTGAATGTGGGCTGCCCCAGAAAAGGGTCATGACCTTGAGAAAGAAATCTTCCTTTGGCCTAGGGAGCCTTTGGCAGCCAGGAGAATGAACATTTCAGACGTGAAGGGGAATTTGGTGTGGCACCATGGCATCCACTACAATCTTCATAATAGGAGTCTACTAAATGCCTGGCCATGTGCTAGGTTCTTTACACACATTCTCTAATTATCACTGAAGTCCTATTAGGGGGAGAAATTTTACCCCTTTTTAGAGATGGGAAAACTGAGGCTTAGGAAAGCTGAGTAACTTGCTCCAAGATCACCCAGCTACTGCTTAGCGGTACAATCAGTGTTCAGACACAAGCTACGTGTATCCAAAGCCCCTGCACTTGACCAAAACTGTGGATGTAGAGTCAGGAGGCTGGGGTCCCCTCCCACTGACCAGTAGTATAGTCTTCGCTAAGACACAGCTCTGAATCTCTTCTTAACCTTCAGATGGTAGACATCTTCCTGAAGCATTCAGGGGCCCTCTAAGGCACCAGAAAGCAAGGAGGAAGGGGCAGCTGAGCCAGAGCTAGAGGAATAACTTTCCTATGGTCTGCTCTCCAGGGCTGGTGGTATCCAACCATCAATTTAGGGGTGTCTACAAGGGGCAGTGAACTTGTGTGCCGTTAAGGCCGATGTCAACATCCAAGGAGCTCTTGGGCAGTAGTAGTGCCTGTAGTCAGACAGGTAGCTATGGGTATAGCTCTGGGTCATCCATGCACCTGGAAGAAAGACTCCAGGCAGTAGACGGGGGCAGGGAATTCAGCAAGAGGGGGAAGATGTTAAGGGTCCCAGCTGACAGGTGCCAATAGGGAGGACTCCCGTCTGGCTGGACTAATAAACCTTTATCCTGGTTTACAAGGCCAAGGTGATCTTTACCTGCAGACATTTCTCCCACCACATCGATTACTATTTCTACTTCCTGCTCTGCCCTCAACTATATTAAGCTACTTCCCTTTCTACAACGTATACTATGTGCTTTCTCAGCTTCAGGCTTCTGCCTGGAAGACCGTTTTCCCTGGCTCCCTTTCTTTACCTGGCTAACTCCCACTCATCCCTCAGGACACTTCCAGGAAGCCTTCCTTAACCTCGCAGGATTGGGTTAGGCGACCCTCCTATGGCAAGCCAGAGTACCATGTGTTAGCAAGATTATATAATGACTGGCACATAATAAGCACTCTAAAAATTGTGGCTGTTAATTACTAGTATTCTTCCTTAATAGCACCTATCACTCTGAATTGGAGACTATGCATGCCTTGCCTGGGCCTAGGCCTTTACTCTGTGTCTAGCATCTGCCATATTGCATAGAATGCAATAAATGCTTGAAAAATATTTGTTGAAACAATAAAAACCTCATTCACACAACTGGGTAAATATGGACAGGACAGTATGCAAGAGGGAGCAGGGAAGGGGGTGGAGAGGGCTCTCTTGCAACCTCCCAGAGACTAGCCCACAAAACCAATGCCAGTCTCTCCCTCAGGTAGGTTTGAGCTTCTATATATGTTGGCTATTGTGCTCACGATTGTGTAAGCACTTGGGAGAAATCAGGCCTCCTGGCTGAAGACCCTCAGAGCCTGTAACTGAGTGGGCAGACTGGGATGGTCATGTGGGCAGGACTACTGTTCACAATGGAATTTTACCTCTCATTTTTTTTAAAAGAGGTAATGTAGCTTATGGAATAAACATGCGGTTTGGGGTCAGACACACCTGCATTCAAATCCCTATTTATTATTATTATTTTTTTTACCTAGAGCTATGGGATAACTTCAAGTAAGAGAAGAATCTTTGGGACAAAGTTCTGAATCCCAGCTGGATCTGAATCCGAGCTCCTTCACTTCCTTGCTATGTGACATTAGACATACGTTGTAACCTCTCTGTGTCTTAGTATTCTCATCTGTAAGATGGAAATAATTCTTCCTTCACAGATTATTATGAAGATGGAATTAATCATTGTAAAGTTCTTAGAACAGGGCTTGGCATATACTAAGTACTGTATAAAGGTTTACCTCATCATTCTAAGCCTCAATTTTCTCATTGGAAAAATGGATATATGGAGAACACTTAGTACTGCGCCTGACATATAGCATGCTCTCTGTCATTATTATTATTTCTATTACTATTACTTCTCTTATAAGTGGAAGATACTTTCTTAGGGTGAACTTCATTGAGTAATAGAAACTTTGTTCCTGTGGATGCTTTTGGTCTTTACTGATGATTTTGGGAGAAAAGGAGCTATTTCTTTGTGGTTCTGAGCCAGTCACATCCCTCATGCCTTGCCTTTCTCACTAATCCTCTGAAAACCTCCTTCATGGGCCCAAACATTCCCATGCATACCTGTTTCTCTGATATATAAGCAAAGGAGGAGTGTATTGGTTTTCTTGGGCTGCCATAACAAAGCACCATAAACTTGATGGCTTAACACAACAGAAATTCATACTCCCACAGCTCTGGAGTCAGAAGCCTGAAATCAAGGTGTCAGGACAGCCGCACTCCCACACAGGCTCTAGGGGAGAATTTTTCCTTGCCTCTTCCAGTTTCTTGTGGCTGCAAGCATTCCTGGGCTTTTGGCAGAAAAACTTGAATCTCTGTTTTTGTCTTCACGTGGCCTTCTCCCTCTATGTGTTCCTGTCCCAAATCTTCTTCTGCCTCTTCCTGCTAAGGACATCTGTCATTAGATTTAGGGTTCACCTTAAATCTTGAGATCCTTAATTAGATCTGCTAAGACACTTTTGCATTCACAGCTACCAGGGGTAAGTACGTAGACATACCTTTTGGGGCCAACTATTCAACACACTATACGGGATAACAGGGCCCTAATTGGGTCTAAATAGAATCTATCCCTGTTTCTTTTTTTCTTTTCCCTGTACACTTGTTCTAGTCTCATCCATACCTCTTTAATGGTATGGTCACAGCCAGAGGGACAAGCAATATATCCAGACCAACCAATCTCCTCCTTCCTGGCCTCCACTCTGGCCCATATCTGCACCTGTTTCCTGCCTCAGGATTCACTGTGAGGAGCACACAGACATTTGAGGCTCATGTGCCTATGAAGTCTCATTCTGCTTGGCCCACCCAGTTGCCTTGCAGACAGGCAGGAGAATCAGATGTCACTCTGGGACCTTGCAGTACCAGCTTGCCCCACCTGGCCCTTCACCAGGGTCACCTCGGTCACACATCAGGTTTCATAGATGAGGCCAAAACAGGAGACCCTGGTGAGCTGGAACAAGTAGAGGCAGTAGATCTGGGTCAGTTCAGGAATTCTGTTTGCACTTGGACCAGGCAAATAGGCTCAGAGAAAGAATCTGGGTCAAAAGCTTGGCAGACTGGCAGGAAACACGAGGCCTGATACACAAATTAAAATGGAGACTAGCTTTTCATCCACACAGGCGAGTTCTTAGTTCTCCAAAGTGCTATTGAGGTGGGTCTGTGACCTGTGGTATAACCTGTATTATAAGGGCCAACTACATTTAGCATGTATTCATTGAGCACTTGCCATATGCCAGGATCTAGGGATACAGAGAGAGATAAGACAATCCTTGTATCTTCAAGGTCATTAAAGAATAGCAGGGGACATAAAGAACTAATTATCATAAAATGCGAGAGCTCTATGTGCACAATGTTATAAGAGGTCCAAGGAGAGAGTAACTCATTCTGCCTTGAGTTAGGGAATGGGCCATGATGGAGGCACAGAGGAGGTAACATTTGAGTGGGATCTTAAAGAATTTTAAGGAGAATGTGGGAAGAGCAGGAAGTATACCGTCCAGCTGATCAAGTGGGTGCCTCTTCTTCCCCTCCTATTTGTTGATCTAATCCAAAACCTGGCTCTTGCATGAAAAAAACTACCTTCACACAAACACTTTTTCCCCCCAGATTTTATTTACTTATTTATTTTAGAGAGAGAGGAGGGGGAGGGGCAGAGGGAG